TCATGGTCGTCAAATAAGCAAAATAGTGTTGCATTATCAACCGCCAAAGCCAAATACATATCCGCCTTTAGTTGTTGTGCACAAATTCTTTGGATGAAGGCCACCTTGAAAGACTTTGGAATCAAGTTCAAGAAAGTGCCATTGCTATGTGACAATGAGAGTGCTATCAAGCTCACCAACAATCTAGTTCAACATGCAAGAACAAAGCACATTGATGTCCGCCACCATTTCATAAGAGATCATCAACAAAAAGTGGACATTTCAATTGAGAATGTAGGCACCGAGGATCAACTTGCCGACATATTCACCAAGCCATTGGATGAGAAGAGGTTTTGCAAGCTAAGGAATGAGTTGAACATATTGGATTTCTCAAATATGTGTTGATGCACCCCCCCACTTATATAACATGCCTCTCCTTTGAGCAATTCAAGGTAAAAATTGATTGGCATGCATACATCCCTTGCTAAGGACATGTTTAGTGCATCTAGTCCTTCCTCATATTTTATAGGCTCATTCATAAAAATCAAATGAATTTGATGATTGTATGGTACGACTATTGCTTCTATGCTTGATATGATCTAGTGGTAGCATATGACATGTTCGTGGGCTTGTGAACCTAGTGTTTGATCTAGAAAATGAGCTATAAGTGTTTAACTCAACATGGTACAGGATAACCCTTGAAATGAGGTGTGAAGAAGCTTGTCCTTAGATCAAACCGAGTTAAATATCTTTGGCAAGTGTTCTAGATTAGACCAAAATTTGAAAAAATGATCCTCATCCCATTTATTGACTTTGATAATCTTAATCTATCTAAAATTGAACCTTTATGGTCATTGATGATAAAGGGGGAGAAATTAGTGCACAAAGATAGAAATAAGATGACAAAGGTGGAGAACTTTGACATAGGGGGAGAAATATGAAAGTAAGGGGATCAATTAAAATTTAAAAGTTGAGCACACAAGTAGGGGGAGCAAGCTCATAAACTTAATTGATGCATTTGAATGTGCATTTCATATGTTTGCTTGCATGGCATAAATTTTAAATTAAAATTCCATGCTTGTCTGGTATATGCTAGTTGTAGGTTCGAATGATGAAATGAAAAACTAGCATGCTTAAGTGATAGTTAGATATGCCTTGTTTACTTGCTTTGTTTCCACAAGTGGTACTAGAACCTTGCTTATAATGTTGATCTCACGAGGTATCTAGTGTTTGGGTTTTGCAAGTAATTCCAAGTGGTATCTAACTAGCAATAGTGCTAAGGATGGTATATTTGGTGCACTCTAATTGGTATCACGCTTCAAAGGTCCATCTCTTACACCTTAGCATCATTTGGTAGACATTACTCTCCCACAACTCCAATTCATGCATATGTGCAAGCTTCAATTCAAACTCTTTGCACATATGTAGGGGGAGCTAATGCTACCAATGGGGGTTCATGAAACTTGTTCAAATCCATTTACAAATGGTAAATATGCTGGGGCAAGCAACATGGATTCTATTGAATTTCAATTCATATCTTTGTGAAAGGGTTGTCATCAATTACCAAAAAGGGGAGATTGAAAGCTCTAGTTTGGTTTTAGGAAATTGATGAAACCCTAAAGTGCTAACCTATTACTCTAGTAATTATGAGATAGGTAGCACATTCCAAGTGATGGAGCAAATGGAGAAGATCATGGTGATAGTGGAGTCCATGGAGATGATCAAGTGCTCGGGCTTGGAAAAGAAGAAAGAGAAAAACAAAATGGGCTCAAGGCTAAGGTGATATCCATAGGGCCATTTTGTTTTTGGTGATCAAGACACTATAGAGAGTGTGATCACATTTAGGATAGATGATCGTACTATTAAGAGGGGAGCTCTTATTGGACAACTCGATCAACTAGTGCCACTAGGTGTTGGAAAACATGCACATGCATTTTAGGCCTAGTGCACAATTGGTGAGAAAGTGATTAACCTTTGAAAAATAATTATGAAAATGCTAACACACATGCACGTGATGGTGAAACACTTGGAGTGTTAGCACATTTGCAAAGGTGGTGAAAAAGGTGAAGAAAAGGAGGTGTTGTCGAGCTCGGGGTGCTGCCACGGGGGCATCACCATGCCCTTTTCTGGTGTACCGCCAACCCTGTGGCGGTGATTGGCAGAGGAGGCCGAGAGTGGGGTGCTCTGGTGGAGCACCACCACCCTGTCCGGTGGCACCGCCACCACTAGGGCTGTGCCCACCTAAGCCTGGCCGAGGCACAACAGAGAAGGAGGCGGCACCGGTGCGTCCGGTGTGCACCGCCGCCGTGAGGGCGGTGCACCACCGGGTCACCGTCGTAGGCAGGGTGGTGCCACCACCATAATTATCTAGAGACTGGATGATTTGGAGATGGTCACCGCCATCCCTAGGGCGGTGCACCGCCATAAAATTCTAGAGGCTGGGGTCCTCGGGCTGCTGGCTGGGTGGTCACCGCCACCCTTGGGGCGGCCACCACCGCCTGTACGGTGCCCCAACAGCTAGCCGTTGGATGACCGTTGGAGGGGCACCGCCACCCCATGTCCGGTGCCCCTGTAGAAGCTGAGTCAAAGAGGTAACGACTCTATTTGCTTGTGGGCTTATAAATAGAGGTGGTGGCCGGCCTTGGCCACTCTCTTGGCAGTTCTAACAGCTGCATACACCCTTTGAGAGCTGAGCACACCACTCCACTCACTTGCACACCTGATTTGATCATCTTGAGTGAGATTGAAGAGCCTCTAGTGTATTGCTTAGTGGTCTAGCATCTTGTGGCACTAGTTGGGCGATTTGGGCTGGTGGAGATCTTGTTACTCTTGGTGTTTGCCGACAATTAGACGGCCCGGTGATTGGTGGATCGTCGAGCGGAGGAAGGTGATTGTCTTCGGCTCCGATCATTGTGATTGTGAGGGGTTCTTGTGCCTTCTCCAGTGAAGCACCAAAGGCAACTCTAGTGGATTGCGCGTGGCTTGTGGATCCTCATCTTGTGTTGGTTGTGTGGCACCCAGTTGCGGGTTAGGTGTGTAATGCCTATTAGCGCGTGAAGCTCCAAGTGAGTGAATCGCCACAACGAGGGCTAGCTTGCCGGAAAGCAAGAGAACCTCAGGGGAAAATTTGATTGTGTCATGATTTGTCTCCTTGGTATTCATTGGTATTCTTTGTTTGATCACTTGCCACGACGGTATACCTCTCTACCACTCTCTTGTATTATATTGTGTCTTTACCTTGTGTAGTGCTTGTGGTAGTTGTAGCTAGTTAGTGTAGCTCTTTATTTGTAAGCTCTCTTGCTAGCTTGTTCGCCAAGGTGTAAGTTAGTGACTTAGCCCTTTGTGTGTGACATAGAGATTATATCTAGTAGAATTGTGGTATGTGATTTGCATTTTTAGTAGGCTAACGTAAAACTTGCTTCACTTCATTTTTGTCTAACCATTTGGTTTAGTGTTGTTGTAGAATTTTTTATTAGACTATTCACCCTCCCCTCTAGCTATTAGGACCTTTTAGGAGTGTTACTCAGATTACGCGACCAACTCAGCTAGAAACCCTTTGGCAAACGATAGGTATAGCGTACATGTGCTGATGGATCCGCCTCCTTTTCTTAATTGTGACGTGGAGGTATGTTATTGAGGTTTCATGAACTACTTCTGCCATATTAAATTTGTACGTTTCAATCACATTGAATAAGAGAAAAAATTCCCTGAAGCGTATTTTTTTACATCGTTATAGAACTATACAAAAACAGAGCACTGTTCAATAAGTATCCATGGAAAAGTGTGATCTGCACGGTGTTTGGTGCGGAGTTGTCTAAATTTGAGTTTATCCCATTGACAAGAAACTAGTAGCTACACATATTATAATTAGAAGAAAAATAATATATACTAATATTTCAAAAGAACATTGTACTAGATACTCATATTAGAAACATGCTATATACTAGCTACTCATATTCGATACTATCCCTATTTCCGAAGAATATTGTACTCGGAGAAACTTTTTAAGTTATATTCCCATGATTGGTGACTAATCAGTATCTAATATTAAAAAGCAAAATTTTCTTCAATCAAACTCTTATGACCTCTGTCACATGTGCTCCCTTAGATCCATTGCCTCGGACATTGATTGAGAGAATGAATCGACAAATAGAAAGCAACTGAACTATAACTTTCATATAGAAGATGTCAATATCCAAGATTGTTTGATAATTTTAAATTTTAAATTTCAAAATCTATAAACTTACAACAATATTTTGGGACCCTAAACAGTTTTAATTCAAAAACTTTTCAAGTGCAAAGTTGTAGATCGTGTCGAGGGCTACGATTTTAATATAAAGTTTGACTTCATTAGAGTTTATATGAAAAAATTATGAATTATTTTTTGATATAAAATTTGTATATCGCCCTGTTTTGACCCAGATGAGACTCAAAACCAAGTTTAGGGTCCGAAATAAAACCACAGTCTAGGTTTAGAGACAGGCGGTGATGACCTTAAAAGTTCAAGGACTAAGGACTAGGATGACATGGTTGTCCAAATTTAGGGACCCGCAGATATCAGTATAGAAGTTTAGGTACTAGGATAACATCGCCGGCTAAGTTTAGGGACCGTCGGTGAATTTTACTAAAAAAAAAATAGTCGTCTGTGTTGTGCGGCAAAGTGCACTGATTTGAATTCCATAGATGGTTGTGAACCCACCTCCTTCTTGGATTCTGTTGATAGATATCGTGCCCTCTGCAAAAGTAAACAGTCCAGTCCCACCAACAATAGCCCATTCGCCTTGGAGTTTATTTTGATTTCCCATTGCCTTAAAACTGGACCCCCCAAACCTAATTCAGGAATATCAAACAAACAAGTAAGCTTGCAGCAGAGGCAGTCAACAAAATGAAGTCCAGCGACTAGTTATGTGCATGCCATAATAAATTGTTATTGTTGTTACTAGTATTTATTTTAGTATACAATAATTAACATGTAGAAAGAACAATCCTATATAGAAGGGCGACGTTTAACTTATTTAAGATCAAACACCAAACCTTTCATTGCTAAACACTATGCTGCTCCAATGGAACCAGTCATCGTCGTCCATACAAGTCTCTGTATGCAGGCCTTGTGCACGTGCAACAATCTTTGCACTGGGTCCAAGACCATCATATATGGGATAGTCATGAACATTGGTGTAACCAAACATATGTGGCTGCTGTGGATCTGCTATGTTTACTTGGTTATGGTTTGGTCCATCCATGGTTTGGTGCATGTACAACTTGAGATTGTACTTAGGTCCATGAGACTGGGGGTTGACAGGACCACATTGTGTATCATCCTTGCAAGTGCTGCCTTGGAATGCATCATTTGTCATGCCGTCATTGAATGGCTGCACGTAATACAAATTAGATAAAGATTTATCTAGAAACAAATTATTGTTGCACCATTATATATAGAACTAATAATAATAAGACTATACCCGTGTCTGAAATAGTTTCCATAGAAACGTGTTCATTCTTGATGTTCATCCTTGCGGTGGTCCGTAAGCTATTGTTGTATTTTAAATTTTTTAATTGATTGTTTGAGATAGGCGTTTTAAGCATCCACCTCTGGTTGTTTAATTTCAGAGTCGGTCTTCGTGGTCAGCTCTGCAAATCAATGCTTTTTAAAGACCTTGTAGGAGAGTCGGTCTCTACGTTAGCCTCTGGAGAGGCTTAGAGCCTGTCTCTAAAAAGTGTTGTTGTGGTAGTGATGCTTTACAGATTGAATATTGGGTTGTTGTGTCCTTATAATCTTGATGAATAGAAGCACTTGAGGTCTTGTTGACATTTTGGTGAAGGCCTTGGTGACCTTCTGGTCCCACCCCTCTGAACTTGGTGTGAAGCGACGACGACTTGGTGTGCAGGAGATGAGGGGACACCCTCCTTGATAGACAAGCTCCGTACAAACCATGCCAACATCTGAGGTTGTTTAAAAATACTAAACTTTAAATTTCCAAATCGAAGAAGTTAAATGAATTGTTGGGACTCTAAACAATTACGAATAGAAAAACTTATCGACTACAATTTGTAGATTGCATCGAGCTCTACAATTTTGGTTAAAAACGTTATGAATTTTATGAGATAACTTTTTCTAGAAGTAAGTCTCTTAAGCATGCCACCTCTATTAACCGATTTTTTCTAAAGGTGGACCCATATAATTATCTGCCTCAGTTAATAGCAATTTTTACAGAACGGGCATTTTAAGAAGTTAGAGTCTATTAATTGATTAACAGAGGTGGACGTTCTAACACAACCGCTGCTGTAAATAGTTGATTAACATAGTTACATAGGCATTCTTCTTTGGATGCCTGCCTCGAGGTAGCTCCTAAAAAGTATCTGTTTCTGTTAATCAGATGGTCTATCTCTCGACGCTGCTCAGCCATCAGGTACCACAAAAATTAATGCTCCATCAGAGTCAATTACCAATTACCAAACAACCTTGGATTAGTAAGGGCTTATAAATAAGTCCCTCCACACTCGCACTTTCACTACCATGAGCAAATTTCTCGGTCAAAAATGGTTGAGGTTTTTGAAGATGAGTGAAGATAAACTAAAGCACCTTGACTTGAAGCACATGGACTCGGTCTAAAAAGGCAGCTAAAGTATGAAGGATCCTGGACTCGGTCTTAAAAGGCTTGATGGATAGCCTATGGAAATTATTAGCATCCTGGTCTAGATTATGATGGAACCTTGAATTCGATTGTGAAACCTTTGACAATTTGAGTTGCTTTTAGCATCACCACCACACATAGATGGCCCATTCACCAATTGAATGTTATAAATACATTTCTCCATGGCCACCTTGATGATCGAGAGTGTACGACTCCTACATTCAGCCTCCAGGATTTATTGATTCCTCAGTCCATCATTATGTGTGTCTCCTCAAGAATTCATTTAGCCTCAAGCAGGCACCGCCGGCTTGGTACCAGTGGTTTGCCTCCTACGTAGCCACATTGCGATTCATTGCATCTATTTGGAACACTGTTGCTCCTCTATGTTGATGAGTACTTTCAAAACTCTTTCTCAAAAAAAAAAGGTACTTTCAAAACTGCACTATCCAAAAACAGTTACTTCTGAAAAAAACAGCTTCTGATTTATATCCCTTTGGCTGGCTTTTGTTTTTTTTTTGAAAGAAAAACAACTCCCAAAAGCCCAACGGAAGGAGCATTGCAGAGTATCACTCTGCTTTGTGCTTGTAGCACTCTGCTCCAACCCCGTGGTAGGCCAAGCTCTCCGCTTTTGATGGTGCTCTTAGTTGCTGATCTCGGGCAAGCATTACAACTGTGGATGAGTATATTAACAATATCAGCCTTGTATGTCGTACTTCGTCTATATATGTTGCCTAGTACAGCTGATTCCCTAGATTTTTATATTGGGTAACTAATCAATCCTGTGATCATGGATTCCAGTAGAATAATCAGAGGCTGGAGTGCTGGATGTTATCTATAAATGGCGAGTGTGCCGTGTCTGGCCTTTGCCGCAATTCCCTTTACTGTCTATCAATGTCATAGAAACTACTATTGGCTTTATGCAACAAATATCAGATGTTGAAAAATACTGAATATATACTTTGATTTTCATCTCTCGTGGTACCTTACGTTTAACTTTCTCCAGCTCAGTAGAAGACTCCTTTTCAAGCTGACTTCACTTAATTTATCAGCCAAATCGAAGCAAGAAACTGAAAACGGTGCTGTGTCCAAGCTCTAAAAAGCCATTCTTGGAAGTTAAAGGATTCTATGTGTGTCATGAGTTAACTTACATGTGTTGTTGATGAAGTACAGAGGTCGGTTTCAATAAAACCATATGTCTGCTCCATTTCATAAAGTGTCTCAATTATATACTGTGTAACTGGTCTCTTCGCTGGGTTGAAGTCACTGCACTCTACCCCTATCTTGGCGCATACCCTTACCTGGTTCAGTTCTGTGTCTTGATTTAATGTTTCGAACCTATTACTCCAACTTTCAAGTACCTAAAACATTGCAAGTAACCATGAGTTAGGGTTTATCATAGATTTGGAAATTATAGCATGTGCAAGTAAATAAAATATTGTAAAGACTTCTGATGTATAAATACTTTTTTTTTTGAAACAGAAGATTTTATTGCATCCCAGAAGCAGTACACCGAGTTGATACATGGCTTGGGGACGAAATGCTCGCAGCCTCTACCTAAAGGATAGGCATACAGCTAAAAAAAAGAAAAAAAATATGCCAATACAGACATAAGACATACAAAGAAAGTAAAGCATGCCAAATACTTTGGTGCTCTGCAGTGTTTACTTTGGTGCTGCTAGGTTGTAACATTTAGATAGTTAACTAGACTTATTACATCTGTAGAATAAGTAAAACAAATTTCACTGGCTTGCTTAAGAATTGTTGGAAAAATATATTGTATTAGGGTTACAATTGTATATTGCACAAAACCATATTGTTTGATAATTGGAAATTTTCTTAACATTGTAGCCTTGTCTTGGATTGGTCATGTGCAATATTCTTACATTCTCAATCTCAGAATACCCCTTCTTTCCTGTCAATATCTCCATGATTATAACACCAAGGCTGTATATGTCTCACTTGAATGTGATTACTCTACTATAGGATTCTGGTGCCAAATATCCTCTGCATGACAAAGTTTGTGGCCAGAGGAATTAAGAAGCAAATTAAGAAATGAAAAAAAAATGTTCTCATCAATAAGCTTTGATTTCAAGATGCATAGATAGCTTACAATGTTCCAACCAGTTTTGAAGCTATAGCATGGCTTTGGTTTTCATCAAAGCATCTTGAGAGACCAAAATCAGCAATTTTGGGCACCATATTGTAGGTCAACAGTATGTTTGCAGGTTTGAGATCTAAATGAACTATTTTGTTTTGGTGCAGATAATGTAAACCCTCGCATATTCCCTTTATTATTTGATAGCGTATCCTCCATTCGAGTCCACGAGATGCATCTGCTCATCCGTTCATGAAAAAAAGGGGAATGGAACAGGAACAGTATCATAATCCGAACAGACGACCCGTGATTGACAAAAGAATGGGACCTAAAGGGAGCATATGGACCTCATTCGTCAAAATATAAGATGGACACAGACATACCAGTAATATACCGATCAAGACTCCCATTTGTCAGGAACTCAAAGCAGAGCAACCTTTGTCGTACGTCAGGCATGACCGTCTTTCCCTCGTACTTCTCTACTTTCCCTTGTGTGTCGGAACAATATCCTAGGAACCTTACTATGTTTTTGTGCTTCACCTTTATGAGACTGCTAATCTCATGGTTGAAGTTCTTCTCGTCCATATCAAGTTCTGGGGACAGTCTTTTCACAGCAACTGTGCCACCCTGAAGCTGTCCCTGCAGTCACAACACATTGCCGTGTAAACATGCATGAGCAATTGAGCATGAGCTTTTACATCTATCAGTTGTGATCAAGACTGAAGAAGATTGAGAGATACGAATATGATATGTACCTTGTAAACAACTGCAAAACCCCCTTTGCCAATTTGCTGATTGTCTGAGAAATTATTGGTGATGGCTTTCAGAAGTGCTAATGGCAGACCTGTCGGCTCTATGCTTTCATCAACTATCATGCGTTCCAAGAGATTGTGCACAACACTAGCTTCACAATCCATTTTAGTCAAAGTAAATGCGTAAATGAATTTGCAGAACTAATCATTAATGTCCTGACCTATAGACACAGGCAAACCGCAGACCAAAACAACAACTACTGTTTCTCTAGCTTCACAATGTCCTGTCCTGCAATCCTCCGGTCAAAATTTTCAGTTTTCGCTAGCCAGTTTCTCCTGCGGGAAACAACATGTTCACCGACATGAGAGAGTAACTGGGTTTAAGGTGCAAACCGTCAAGCCCGTCGATGCTTAAACGCAGATCAACTAGCAGCTGGTTAGTAGCAAAAGGCACTAGCTAGGACGCTATTGGGCAGTGGCGTAGAGAAATCATTGGCTGAATCGATTACTAACCAGAATGAAGATGGAGGATGCAATTGCAAAATCAGCTGCCTTCAGATCTGGATAAGAGAAGAACAGGGACTCGGCTTCACCGGTGAGAGTTGATTGAAGAAAGATAAGAAGGGAAGCTACCGCTGAAGATTGGCTAGCTGGAGATGTACGGACGGACCCCAGTTGTTCTAACTCTAGCGGCCTGTTGCGAGTAGAGGTGGTTGTGGATTTGGATAATCCAAAGTACAGTTGGACTTTAGTTGATTTGATGGAATCTATTCAGATTGGGACGTTTATAATCATCGGATATTAACTCAAAAAATATAGTGTCTATTTGGTTTAGGTGCACTTGACTACTTAAGAGGTACACGAGCTTTTAATATAGTTTTAAGTTTATAACACGGGGCCAATATATATTTGTCCACTTACATAGCTATATACAAAGTAGCTAACAATTATATTAAATCATCTCTAAAAAATTCCGGTCAATCTCACTAAATTTTAAAGTGTGAATATTATATTTTGAATTTTAGGATACAGACTTTTGATGTGGGACTCACATATATATATGAGTCCAACTCCAAATATTTTGCTAAAGTTTTAAGGTGCAAACATAAGGGTTTTAATTTTACGGTCCGGCTTTTGATATGAGATTCACTTATATATCTAGTCACACCGATCAGCATAAAGTAGTGGACAATTGTATTAATTATCTCCAACTAATTTTAGCTAATTTCATATAAAAAGATAAAGGTGTAAACCTGATATTTTAGTTGTAAGGTCTATTTTTTATCCATCGGAAGAATGAAAAACGTTGGACTCTGAGACGTACCCAAATTGATTATGATAAAACCACCTCTGATTCTCTGAAGATTCATACTCAAATTGATTGGAATAAAACTTCTTTGACACGTAAGTATAAGACCTTTGACTCCGGCCACCACTGAAGTAGGCTTTCTGCGGTTATTAAGGGCTTGATTGGTTGGCTCTCAAAATATACCAATGAAGATTTGGTAAGCCATAATTTTGGCTATTATTTGGTTTGCAACCGAAACTTATCAACCTCTCACATTTGACTTACCAAATTTATGGCATAATTTTTACCCAACTTTTGTTTGCCAAACCCTTGGCATGGCAAATTTTAGTTCCAAACAAGTCAAGCCCTAAAGCCACGACCCGTCACGCGTAGGTCAAGCGGGCAACCTCAGTCTGCACGGCAGACGCATGTCTAGAAGATTGTACTAGTACAGGAGAGTACGGTCAGATGTGAATCTTGCAAAGCTTTCTACTGATGTCACGCTAACAAAAGCTAGGAAAAAAGCAACATCTTTACTTTAAATAGTTATAACTTTTGATTGAAGTATCTTTTTCAAACCGTTTGTACCCGTATATTCTACGTGACGAGATGGATAAAACAAAACCCCACTTATATAGGTTTTAAATTTTTTATAAAGATAGCAATTTTTTGTAAATATGCACTAGGAGATTTATTAAAGAAGTTGATACCATGTAGCAATAAAATTACTACTGCAAAAGATATTACATTGTGTGCACATAAGTATCTAAGAATTTGCAAAAGATATTACATTGTGTGCACGTACAGAAGTATGTAAGAATTTATGTATAAATGTTTGATACAGCTCCTAACCCAATATAGGTGCTGCGACCCCTAATTCATGTGAGTTATGTAACCCTAATCAGTATGTTCATGTGTACAGGACCTGTGTTTCAAAATTCTAACAGGTAACGTTATAGGAGGGAGGGGCAAACAATAGTAAATCCTGAAACAACCCTAAATCCTTTCGCAAAAAAATGAAACAACCCTAAATCACAATAGGCTACAGACTAGGGGATCCAAATACTAATTTTGCCGCAGACCCTAATCCCAACCCAAGTCAGGGATCCAAATGCTAATTTTGCCACAGACCCTAATCCCAAAACAATTATAGACCATATTCACAGTTGATGCGGCCACAAATGCCAACCCGTATGCCAATGCTTCTCAACACTGGTTACTATGGAGAAAACGGTACGGATATTTATTCGACCGTCCGTTCGACCGAACAAATATAAACACTTATCTGGATAGTTACTCGGATATCCGTAATTTTTTTGGATACGGATAATAAAACGGATATCTTAGGCGGATATCAAATACGGATGTAATATCATCGATATCCGGCGGATATCGGATAATCCGGTTAAGTATCGGATATATCCGGATATTTTCAAACGAATATTATCCGGATATTATTCAAACGACCTTGGATGGAGAAATGATCAAAATAAAAATTGTAGATCTCAAAAAGTTATGAAACTTTGTTGTTTACAACTTTTTCGTTTGAAATCATTTAGTGTTTAAAAATTTAAACCGTCCAAACTTTCTCAAATGGAAAACTAGTTTATAGGCGTCAAAATTTAAAAATCACAAATTTGAACCATCCAAACTATCTTAAATGGAAAGTTGACCAAAACAACAATTGTAGATCTTAATGAGTTGAACAAACTTGGTATTCAAAACTTTTCAATTTGAAGTCATTTAGAGTTCATAATACTAGAGTCAAAGTGTTGTTTTTTCATTTGACCAAATTTGACTTGGTCAAACTTGCTCAAATGAGACACTAAATGACCTCAGATGAAAAAACTCTGAATACCAAGTTTGATCATCTCAGCAAGATCTACAATTGTTACATAGCTCATTTTCCCATTTGAGAAAGTTTTATCAAACACTAGTCACAAATTCTTGAATCTCATATAGACTTTCTAAAACTATGTCACACACTTGTGAAATTTGAACTATATTTTGTTCAAACTTTTTCAAATGAAAAAATGTCCTATATAAGGATTGTAGATCTTGATGAGATGAACAAATTTGGTATTCAAAACTTTTCAATTTGAGACAATCTAGTATTCCGAAAACTAGTTTGTAAACGTCGAAATTTAAAAATCACAAATTTGAACTGTCCAAACTATCTCAAATGGAAAGTTGACCAAAACAACAATTGTAGATCCTGATGAGTTGAACAAACTTGGTATTCAAAACTTTTCAATTTGAAGTCATTTAGAGTTCATAATACTAGAGTCAAAGTGTTGTTTTTTCATTTGACCAAATTTGACTTGGTCAAACTTGCTCAAATGAGACACTAAATGACCTCAGATGAAAAAACTCTGAATACCAAGTTTGATCATCTCAGCAAGATATACAATTGTTACATAACTCATTTTCCCATTTGAGAAAGTTTTATCAAACACTAGTCACAAATTCTTGAATCTCATGTAGACTTTTTGAAACTATGTCACACACTTGTGAAATTTGAACTACATTTTGTTCAAACTTTCTCAAATGAAAAAATAGCCTATATAAGGATTGTAGATCTTGATGAGCTGAACAAACTTGGTATTCAAAACTTTTCAATTTGAGACAATCTAGGGTTCCGAAAACTAGTTTGTAAGCATCGAAATTTAAAAATCGCAAATTTGAACCGTCCAAACTATCTCAAATGGAAAGTTGACCAAAACAAGAATTGTAGATCTTGATGAGTTGAACAAACTTGATATTCAAAACTTTTCAATTTGAAGTCATTTAGAGTTCATAATACTAGAGTCAAAGTGTTGTTTTTTCATTTGACCAAATTTGACTTGGTCAAACTTGCTCAAATGAGACACTAAATGACCTCAGATGAAAAAACTCTGAATACCAAGTTTGATCATCTCAGCAAGATCTACAATTGTTACATAGCTCATTTTCCCATTTGAGAAAGTTTTATCAAACACTAGTCACAAATTCTTGAATCTCATATAGACTTTCTAAAACTATGTCACACACTTGTGAAATTTGAACTACATTTTGTTCAAACTTTCTCAAATGAAAAAATGGCCTATATAAGGATTGTAGATCTTGAATCCATGACCATGAATCCATGAGACCCATGAAGCCATGAGCTTGGCTATTTCTACTCATGCCGCGAAGATTGGTGCTTGTATGATGTATCTATATCTTTATCTTATTTGTTGCTTTACTCTTTAGTCTTTCGGCTTAATCTAGATGGATTATGGACTCATAGAGTGGTGTAATGGTTTGCGCACGTATGATATATATATATGCTGCTTTCACTCAATATCCGAATAGATATTTGTATCCGACCTTCTCCGAATCCGATTCATACCATATTCGATACTCATTATTCGTATCCGTAACCGAGTCGATCCGTATTCGTATATGTATCCGAACGCTATCCGTGTCCGAATCCGAATCCGAACAGAAATATGAAAACAAATATAATATGAGTGATATCCGTTCGTATCCGATCCGTTTTCATCCCTACTGGTTACTATCCCTAATCCTAATGCTTGTTAAGAACCATAATGCCGACCTAAACTATGGACTCTAATCCCAATACTTGCTAGAAACCCTAAACTGGCTACGACCATATAATCCCATCCAATGCCATGACCCCTCATTTAAACCCTAGCTATTATCCCTAATCCTAGCTAGTATTATTTGTCGTGGTAAATTATTACAAAAAAACATTATAGCTGACCCAAAACATGGCAAGCTGCCGACTAGGAGTTAACTCATTATAAAAACTAAAGTAGCGGCTCCAAAACATGACAAACTGTCAACTAGGGGGGCCATATCCCATCCAACTTCGCTCTACAACCCAACACACCCT